AGACACATTAATCATTAGTCAGAGAGGACACTTGAGGTTTTGTAAGATTGTGGTTTTATTAAGGATATTGTCCCAGTGGCCCGTTTTGCAATGTACTCAACATTATTCTCAGACCTGTAACTGTCTTCCAGGTTTAACCAAAAGTAAAAATAAAAATGTAGACAAATGTAAACACCTGCTGAATAGATCTAATCTTTACAAATGTCCCTGAGAAATATAAGGTGGGAGTATTATATATATTATAGGCCCCTCCATAACATGAACTGACGTTAAAACGAGCTAACGCTATTTATTGATTGATTAATGTTGGCATATTTTTATCATACTAAGAAATAATAGCACCAGCTAGTTTTAGTATAAAAACGTTGAAAGTAAAGAAACCTTTTTTCTTTTTTTCTTCCCCCATTGTGGCGCCCCCTAGATGGACGGCGCCCTCAGCATAGATACTGCCTATGCCACTGCCCGGCACTGGGTCGGTCCACCATATTAGTCAGAGTGAAATATCTCTGCTGTGTTTGATGGATTGCAATAAAAATAAAACTTGAGATTTTAATACAAACATTAAAGGCACCCAGCAAATCCACTAATACTTTACAATAAGGGGCAAAAATGTTTGAGTTGTTACCAGAGAACAAATGAGGAATGAATGAGGAACTAAATGATAGGGAACCATCAGTTAATGAGTAACTCCTAACCAAATTTTATAGAGTAGCTAATGTAGATTATAGTGCTAATCATTAAACTTTATTTTTCTAACTAACTAAACTAAGATGGTGAAGAAGTAAACACAACTGCTAAACATCAGTATGTTCACATTGTCTTGATGAGCATGTTAGCATGTTGATGTTAGTATAAAATGAGATTTATTTTATAGATTTTTTTATGTAGATTTTCAGGTTTATTGGGACAATGTTCATACTTTAATTAATGGTAGCTATATGTATATTATTCTGTTCCATAATTTTGATTAGGAAATAGGCAACATAATATGGTGCACCTTGCCTGTAATGTTACTGATGGTTAAGGCTGGCGCAGTGATATGATGTAAGGTTGAGAGTGATACATCACTTTTGGTTATCAGTGTTCAGTTGTCCAACTGCTGAACTGAACATAGTGGACCAAGTGACCCGGATGAAGCTGTCCCAGTGCTCTTGCTTTACCCACGACCGAAGGTAGTTTTAATTCAGTAACTATCAAGTGTAGGACAATCATCAGCGTCTACTCCATCGCTGCCACAGAACTCCTCCTGGTATATAACATACTTTATAACAAAACTTGATATCAGTGGTTCCAGTCATACCATTACAACAATCAAGGATATAACGCAGTGGTCTCTAGTGGGCCAGTGAAATTATGCAAATCTCAGTCTACGATGCTAGTTATCGGAAGACTTGGAAACTTAACATTTCATTATCAGTGAGAAACCAAGCTGTAAATATGGTAGAACAGAAACAATATTGTATTATTTCTCAACTGCTCAATAATCTACATTTAGTCCTAAGGTGTGACAGCAATTTGCTCACCATATACGTGAGAACTGTGATTCCTGCTTCAGTGGTTCGGTCCATTAGGTATAATAAAACTGTGTATTCTCCACTGCACTAAGGAGACAGATATCCTGAGCGTCCAAGATCGAGTAATGGAAGATGGTGATCCTGCCTTCATACTCTGGTTGCGGTTATGTTAGCAAATTTGAAGGTGATTATATTTCTACCCCAAATCTCCAGTGCAATGATAGAAATGGGGTTTCTGTTGGGTCAGTTTTGTGGTGAACATCACCGTCCCTGCCACAGTCCTTATTCAAGAGGACCAATCTCGGCAACTACAACCAGCTCTTTTATAAACCTTGGAGGAGCACAGTTTACAGTTACAGGTCTGAGAACAACTCTGGTAAGTGAAGTACATTGCATGTGCCCACTGGGACAATATCCTTGGATCACAATCAAAGCAAAAACAAAACAACATGAGCACACTGTTGTAATGGACAATTTTATAATACACTTGTATGGAATGTCTACTGAAGAGTAAAACATTTATCAACTTTTAAGGTGGTTTACATAATGTAACTTTTGACAGCAGATTACATTCTTAAGAGCACTTTTAGACCACAATTAATGGAAAAGTTCAGCTCTATCAGAACGCAACCGCACAGTATCAGGATTTTGCATTAATAACGATTTTAATTAAATCAACATATTTTACGATAATTTCCTAAAATTACAATGTTGCTAACTAAAACGCATGATCTGTTCAGCCAATTTTGTGGTTATTAGTTATTTTTATTCTTTATGGTCCGCTGTGACTCCAGTCACTTCATTTTTATCAACTCCTTTCCAACAACTTTTCAACAATCAAATTTTCAACGATTTTTACAGAAACAGAAAATGTATTTTAAAACGACAGCAGAAAACGTATTTCTTACCCGTAAAAACCACAGAGAGGATACAAAATAAAGGTAATAATTCCATTGATCTTTCCTTGTGAAAGGCTGGAGGGAAACGTCAGCCATTCAAACTTGACTGTCCTAATAAATGTGAAGCTCTGGCAGCTCTCATTATATGGCTCAGTAACCTAAGTTTACGTAGTGTTGAGTTATAA